TTTTTTTTTTTTTTTTTTTTTTTTTTTTTTTTTTTTTTTTTTTTTTTAATATACCTAATTTAAAATTTAATCAAATAGATTTTCATTTATTAAAAGTTTATGCCAAGAATAAACATCCTTAAATATGCTTTATCTATAATATGGATGTGATATTCAATCTAAAATGTATTATACTTGGACCATTTTTACAAATTATCATTGTCTAGGCATCACTCATATTTTTTAATCCATTATCCTTAGTACACAAAATAGAATTGGTGAATCACTCTATACACAAAAATTTGTATGCAAAAGATCTTAAAAAGACAATAATTTGGCTTCAGCTACTGGGCCATTAATTTCGAATTTACATGCTTATAAATTACTTATTAATAAATCTATAAAAGAATATTACAGTATTACAGTATATAGTAAAATAATTGCATGTTTGACTTTAATCAATCCAATATTTGAATTTTCTTAAAAAATTCTATGGGTGTTGATTTTGTTGTTAGGATCCAAACTTTTTAAATTAAGACATTCAATATTTCCTAAACTAAATATATTTTCAATATTTTTTATCTTATTAATTTGTCAGATTAATTATTTCATATTATTTTATTATTTATTCAATATTTATTCTGGTATTCACTGTATAAATAAATTAATTAAATTGTTAATATTTTTGAATTTTATCTTCAGGTATAATCAACTTTTTTGTTTTTTTTTGTGAAATTAAGGGCGTTAGAAAATTATAATAATAAAATAATTTAAATTTAAATTTATTATCCATAGCTAATAATAATTATAATAATAATTTAAAAATAAAATTTCATTATACTACCTAATATAAATTGAAAATGTTCATAATTTTACGAGTTATATCAATTATAAAACAATAAATTACAATATATTTTAGTAATATAATAAGGTATAGTGCTTATTGTTCAATCGAATATTTGAAAATTAAACAAAAAAAAAATAAATAAATATTTAAAAATTTAAATTTATAAAAATCGAATTTTCAACGATCATTATTTTTTTAACTTTAATATGATTAGAATACGTAGTAATTATTTAAAATTTAAATGAACGGAATAAAGGACTGAAATTTTGCATCGTATACCCAAGCTAACCTAACCCTCATATCCTACTAAAACACAATTCAATGCTTATTATACATTTATGAAGTATTTAAACATTGTATTTTTTTTATATTTTTAATATAAAAATATATAGTAGGTAATATCTATTTATAACTTAACATCTATAACACAAAATCTAATTTAATGACTTAATCTGATATTATGGGTGATCGGTGACATGTCAATATATTGCATGGGTAAGTTAAACTATTAATGCTAAAAGTTACTATAATTATTATGGGCGTCATTCATTTGGGCGAATAACCCAAAATTTACCTGAATTGAGCATATATTATTTAAGCGAGAAATTAACTGATCGCTTAGGTGAATTTATGAATTATTGAATGGTAGGGATGTAACATACCTACCTATACAATATTTATCATATATTTACTATTACTAAATATTTTTATTATATCGTTTCAGCTAATTATAAACACTTATATGGATATATTAATTTTGTACATAATATATTGTACAAATATTTAAAATATTCCAGGTTTATTTTCTAGGAATCAATATCGGGCGTTATTAATATAGATAAACATTGATTGTTATTGCAGTTATTGACGTCACTCATCGTCATTACTCATTAGTCATTACAGTTGTTCTCAACAACCTGGTTTTTCTATGTATTAAAAATACCAATCTATAAACATGCATTTCCTTAAGATATGGAATAGGGATGAAAAGTTATGGGAAGGGATCCATCCTGAATATATTCAGTCACACAACTCTCCGTTAATACGCCACTGGCAGAAACATAAATGAATGATTGACAGTTATGTCTCTTTTAGTAATCTTGTGAGAAAGAACGTTTAATAGTTGAAAATAATAAATATTATTCACGGTCAACCACTGAATGTGTAAGGCTAGATAACTTCTAATATTATCAATTGAAAACCAACCAACTATAGTTATACTTGAAATAAATTATATGAAAGGTAAAAAATAGATTTTAAAATCATAAATGTTAAAAAAAAAACTGTTTGACCATCAATCAATTACTTGGAAAGTTTATAATAATTATTAATGTTTGGTGTTTTTCTGTTTAAACATAATGCCACGCCTTGAAGGTTAATAGCTATTAACGTTTTAAAATTATTATGTTTTTAAGAGTGGTTCATAATATGACATGTACTGTCTAAATATGTCTTCATAAAATATCAGAAAAAGCGTAAGCGGAATTTAGAGCTGTCAGCAAAGTAACTTTTAATGGCAAAACAATTTACAAAAACCACCAAGACATATTCAAATTTTTAAAAATAAAGCAACTATTTTATATTTGTTAATTGAACTTATTATTAACACGTCAAAGTACTTGGTTACACACTTCAATTTGTATCTACTCGTAATAAATAATAATAAAAAATAATTGACAAACTAGAATTTTTTTTTTTTTTACTTATTAAAACGTTGTTCTACATATTTAAAAGTTTATATGTATTTTTTTAAGAACCGTTTATTATAAAGTACAGCTTATAACTAATAAACTTATCATTTATAATTCGATCTTTATATTTAGTACCTATGATATAATTTTCAGGAAAATATTTTACTTTAAAATACGAAATTAAAAATGTAATCCATCATTCTTAAAAGTAAAAACTTAGGAAATTATAATATTAAAGTAGTTTTAAAAATGTCTAGTCACGACTTAAAATTAAGTAAAAAAAATATATTTGGAAAAACATAATTTAATAATTTTCAGTATCCGATAAAACGGGCATTTACCTTTAAAATAAAGACTTATATACATATTTATAATGTATAATCTATAATATTATGCAAAGAAAGTAGGTCTGTAAAAAAAAAAATAACAGAGAATGCAAATTGTCTTGACGAATATAATTAATTAGCATAATACTTAATAGTTGTTTGTTAAAAACTATTTGAGTAAAATTAATTTTACATAGAGATCTTGGGAATGAAATTAATTTGGTTTGTTAAAAATTATTTGAGTAATATTAATTTTGCATAGAGATCTTGGGAATGAAATTAATTTGAAGCGTCTCTGTGGTTCTTTGAAATCGTACCTCTAATATTTGATTTAGATAGATCTTAACACACATTTTTTTGTAATAACTAATAAGGAAATTAAAAGTTGAAATAATAATATGTAGAAACAAGATGATTAATCATTTTAAACGTTATGCTTTCGAAATCATTTAAATTTAAATGACAATCATAAATAGTTATGTTTATCTTTTGGACATATGCGATAAAATACTTTTATTTATTAGTTATATATTTAAATAATTTACTAGTAAATAAATCTAAATTGTTTTATTTAATTAATATAAAAGACATAACGATAAATTATTTATTGATATTTAAATAGTGTTTTCCATTATTTAAATTTTTTATTTCTCCCAGTCCTTAATGAACCATAAAAATAATGTAATAAATCAAGCATCATAAATAATTTATTCAGCACCTACGTGTTAATCCCCGTCTACTAGACACGTGTGTTTATCTTTCAATCTGTTATCGCATGCGTGTATTTACAAAGCTTCAGATATCGCATTACAGTAAACATCTCATAGACATTGAGTTCTAAATTACTTAAGTTAGAAAATAATTGTGAGAGGGAAGGTAAATTAATTTTCCAAAATCCTCCAAAAATAATATACAAGCCCCCGAATTACTCATTCACTGAAAACACAAACTACCACTACATCACCTAACGCCAAAAGCACCAAAGTATCTAAAAATCAAAAACAACCCAAAACCCAAAACAAAGAGACTATATTAATTCAAAATCACTAAAACCAATAAATGAAACGAATATAGAATGCAATAACCCATTACTCAATGTAACAAGCGCAGAAATCCCGACAAATCAACCAGCAATGACACAGTTCTTTGCCACAGATACAGCCAAAATCAACCTCCCTAAAAAAAAAATTAAGCTATAGCAATTAAAATTAAAAATAACGCAAACACAATCAACTAAAAAGATTATAT